CGTCCCTTTGTCCTTTCCTTGCCAAACCCTCTTCTTGAGTTGTCAGTGGAAACATCAGTTACTCTGTTTTTCTAAATTGCAAATACATTAAAAAAAATACCCAAGCTGATTGGTACACTGAGACTGCTTAACATTGGGTATTTCTGCTTTTTCTTGTCTTATGTGAATATGTAGAGCAGGCATTATGAGTTTTTTTTTTTAATTTTTATTTATTTATTCATGAGAGACAGAGAGACACAGAAAGAGGCAAAGACACAGGCAGAGGGAGAAGCAGGCTCCATGCAGGGAGCCTGATGTGGGACTCGATCCCGGGACTCCAGGATCATGCCCTGGGCCGAAGGCAGGCGCCAAACCTCTGAGCCACCCAGGGATCCCCTGAGATCTTATTTTGATTGTCATCAAGCATTTATTATCAATTTCACATTATTTACAGCACTAAAAAGGCAAAGAATATTTCTTCTGTTTGCATTTGACCAATTTAAAGTTTGGGTTTTTCCTGAAGATTTTCCCACTATTTTAGGCCAGCTTAGTTGTTTTCAGTTTCACTTAAAAGAAACTGAGGCCTAGTTCATGTGCTGTTTGTATTCCCAGCACTAGCTTCTTGAAACTTAGATCTTTGTTGAATGAATGAATCTGGCTCACCACAAGCAGCTGACAATGGCAGGTCTTCCCCTCCTTCCAATTTTAAATTTATACAAGACCATGTGTCACTGAGTCAGTGATACTTTCTGGGCTCCTTTTTTCCAGTCCCCTCCATCGCTGAGGCTGGTTATGGTTGGTGTGACTTGGGAGGTCATGTGGGCCTAGAAAAAGTGGCTGATCTTGTGCCACGTTGAGTTGTGCCAGTCAAATCTGGTCATAAAAGAACGAATCTCGCTGTGAGAGGGCTCACAGGCTGGGAGCTGATTCTGTTACTTTTGTAAAATCACCAGTCATGAATTTCCTTGGCCTCCCTTGACCCATCTTGACTGCCCTCCCTGCTTATAGATGGGAAGCCCTTCTCCTGGGTGCCCATGTAGAGAGCCCATCTGCCTGTAAGTCCTTTTCTAGCTTGCCCCATACCCTCAGGAGGAAAGCCCTCTCATTCTTGCTTTCTTGGTATTTTCATAGCAGTTTACTCATAATACCCACAAACGGTTCATTATATGCCATGTACTATAATAGGAAGATCTTGCATTTTAGAACCACAAAGCCTAGTCTTGAGTCATGACTTCCCCATTTATAACATTAAACAAGTTACTTGGCCTTCAGTTTCTCATCTGTGCAAAGGGAATAAGAATATCTACCTCATGGGACTATTACAAAAAATAAATGAGATTGTGGAATATTGCTAACATTGCACTTGGACGGACATTTATAGCTTTGAATGCACATATGAGAAAAGACAGGCAGAAAAATAATGAGCTACACTTTCATGTTCAGATCTAGAGAAAGAACAACTTGAAGCCAAAGGTGGTGGAAAGAAGGAAATTAATAAAGGGAAGAAATCAAGGGAAAAAAAGACAGATATTCAACAGACAGGTGAAAGAAAGCAGGTTGAGAGTAGATTCTTTGAAAAAAAATACGAATTGATAACTCTGATAAGACTGATCAAGAGAAAAGGCACCAAAATCTAATGTCAAGGATGAAAAGAGGGCACGACTATTGATCCCCTCAGTCTTTAAAATGATCATAGGAGGATAGTGTGAACTACTTTATGTCAATAAATTTGAAAAAATATCACCTGGCTTCCCTAAAAAACCACAACTCCACAAAGATCAACACACAAAGAAATAGAAAATACACAAATAGTCTTTTCCCTTTTAACCAGAATCTGTGTTTAAAAGTGTTTAAACGAACTAGGGGTGGTGGAAGGGGAGGTGGGCAGGGGGTGGGGGCGACTGGGTGACGGGCACTGAGGGGGGCACTTGATGGGATGAGCACTGGGTGTTATTCTTTATGTTGGCAAATTGAACACCAATAAAAAATAAATTTATAAAAAATAAAATAAATAAATAAAATAAAATAAAAGTGTTTAAAGAAAACTCCAGGGCAGCCCAGGTGGCTTAGCGGTTTAGCGCCGCCTGCAGCCCAGGGCGTGATCCTGGAGACCCAGGATCAAGTCCCATGTCGAGCTCCCTGCATGGAGTCTGTCTGCTTCTCCCTCTGCCTGTGTCTCTGCCTCTCTCCCTCTCTGTGTCTCTCATGAATAAATAAATAAAATCTTAAAAAAAAAAAAAAAGAAAAACTCCAGGCCCCAGTGACTTCACTGACAAATTCTGCCAAACATTTAAGGAAAAATTAAGCCAATCTTACATAAACATCCATTTGTGATAAAAGCTCATAGTAGAATTCCAGTAGAAAGAAACTTTCTAACCTAAAAAGTGTTATTTTAAAATACTGTATCACAAACATCATACTTCATGGTGAAAAAGAGAAAGTTCTGTCCTTGAGGCCCGGGATCAGCTTGGTGCTGGTACAGCTGTCACCTTGGGGACTGTCACAACTGCTGAGCACAGTGCCAGGGTAGGCACAGGGCCCTGGACTGAGAGAGCATTACCACGCTGCCACCATGGGACTCAGGTGAGGAAAGCTGGGCTTTCCCTATTCCCACTGGTCAGCCAAGAGCATGCCTTGACTCCAAAGCCCTCTACAGCTCCAGTGTTATTTGGTTTTGTTACTTGGCGATTCAGGTTCTTTCTCTTAGGAGGAGTCGAGTGTGTCTTTTTTTTTTGCTGAGCCCAGTGGCAACCTCTTCTTGGCTCTTGGCACTTAGTAGGCTGTTAACAAATTTTATGCAGAACTGACCATCCATTTGTGTCTAAACCATGGCCAAACCCTGGCAAGTGCATCCCTCTGCCTGAGCTCTTCAGGTATTGACTGCTTCTTCCAGAGCAGGCACCTGCTCCTCTCTGCACCTGCTCTCTGCAGCTGTTCCCAGAGCTGGCTAGGCAGCCCAGCCAGTGGCTCAGCTGGGCTACTTTGAGACTTGCCTGAGCCCAAAGTCCAGATATTTCCTGAGAAGCCTGGAGCAGACAACTGCTCTCGGTAGAGACTGTGTCACTGCAAATGTGGGCTGGCGTGCTCCCAGGAGGGCCCTGGCCAAGAGCGTAGGATTGCCTAGAGAAGGGGGTGCTGTGAAACATGGCACCAGGGCCCAGCCAGGGCGGCCTGTCGGCCTTTGTGATATCCTGGAGTTACAGTGACACGTTGTTCCGTGATGGTGGAGCCAAGGTCCAGACAGCGTGCTGGCAGGAAGAGTGTGCACGTGGCGCAGGGGCAACTGCCTGGCTGCAGGCTTTTAGAGCACTTGGCTTTGAAGTACCGTCATCCACTCTTTCAATTTATTGGCCATACATTGCTGTGTTCAGCTTAGAAGCTGTCACATCCATCAGATTAAATCCTTTTAATAGCAACTAGATCTTAGGTTATAAGACACCAGATTTATTTAAAGTTCAGATAGTTTTTGAAAAACATCTTGGTGTGATGGAGAGAACATTACCTTGGCAAACTTGTCAAATGTTGTTTCCGCCATTCACTACTTGGGTGACAGAGGCAAGTTACTTAACCTTCTCGAGCATCGGTTTTCTCAACTATAGAGATAAAGGAATGATAGTGATAATAATTACTATCTAATGACAATTACATTATAATTTACTATGTCCATCCCTGCATGTCTGGCCTCATTGGTCCTCACTATAATTCTGTGATGTATATTCCATATTCATCTCTCTCTCTTTTTTTTAAAAGATTTTATTTCTTTATTTATTCATGATAGACCTAGAAAGAGAGAGAGAGAGAGAGAGAGAGAGGCAGAGACACAGGCAGAGGGAGAAGCAGGCCCCATGCCGTGAGCCTGACGTGGGACTCAATCCCGGGACTCCAGGATCACACCCTGGGCCAAAGGCAGGCACTGAACTGTCGAGCCACCCAGGGATCCCCTTCATCTCTCTTTTATAGATGAGGACTTTGAGGCACAGAGAGGTTAGATAACTTGCATGCTGTTGCCCAGCTAATGAATAATAGGTCTGGGATTGGAGCCCGTGTTCGTGTTCCTTACTATGCTTCTAGACTGTTTCATAGGGAATTGTGAGAACTAAGTATGATCACATATGAAAAGTACCTACAATAAAGTCTTGTACCTCTGCCCACTCCACCCTACCTGGGCCCTCCCACAGCAAAGCTGGGGCTTTGGATTCCTGACCATGGTAGTTAGGGAAGTTCCAGATCTCTGACTGTGTGATTGGAACACAGGGTGATGGGAAGGAAAGTGGAGTCAACTTTTCACCACGTCAGGGAGTCTCATGTGGCTGTGGACAGGTCATTGCATCAGTGATCTGTACTCATGAATGTCGCGGTGGGGGTGAGGTTCCTTCCTTCCTCTCTCTATAGGAGGTTAATCACCCCTTTACCCTTGTCTGGATTTAGAACATTGCCTCATGATCCAGACATGATCCCTTTTGCTTGTTAGTCTTTACTCTTTCTAGCTGAGTTAGACAGTATCAGAATACACTAGCCTGAATTTGGGGCTTCAGTGGCTGGGGTGAATCAGTCATGGGTTGGGAGAGGGAGACAGTGTCCAACACAAGTGAAACATGGAGGAGTCTGGGGGTGGAGTCAAGGGTGGATCCTTTCCTCTTGTGCCTTACCCCAGGCCTAGTCGGGCCTGGTGAGCCTAGAGATACAGGGACTCTCCCTGTATCTTCGCTTATTCTCACATGTGCTCGGTCTCTTTCTCCAAGGGACAAGGAAGATTGTTTAGTGAGGCTGTTGGTCAAAGAACATGAACTGTTCTCTGGAAAACTCTTTAGTAAGATGTTGAGAAGGTTCACTTGTTAATATGAAACACACAAGCATATAACATATGCATACATGTTATTTATTGACTTTCTTTCTCCTTGAGGGAACACTTGAGACTGTGCTATACTAAGGCAGTGATGGGATGGAAGCTGTAAAATGGGGATGGCTTACTTATTGCCTTGGGAATTTAAAAACCACAACAATGTGCTTTTCTTTTGTAGGTTTGTCTGCGGATTTTGAGCATCTGAAGTTGACCTCTGCTTTAAGCATTTGCTGCTGCTCCCTTACTGCCTGAAGAGATGTCTGTCGCTTATGATGATTCCGTTGGAGTAGAAGTGTCCAGTGATAGCTTCTGGGAGGTAATGCCCATGCTTGCTTCCCCGTGAACGTGGAAACCAGTCTGATAGTGCTTGACTGACCTGGCTTCTTTTGGCTGGTATTGGGGGGAGAGATGAACAAATCCCTAACAGACCAGGTCTCTGTGGTCAGATTCAGATGGTGACAGGTGTGGCTAAGCTGTCAATGCAGGCAGTGAACTTACCTGACTAGGAAAGACTGGTAAAGAGGCTAGAGGTGCTTGTCAAGGTCTTATCAATTTGTTTGTTCTGGGATCTTCCTTTTTACACTTAGCTAGCCATGATGTGACTTGGTGCTGCATTTACTCATTACTGGGCTTGGCTTGAGAGGCAGTGTTACTTCTTTTGTGTGGAAAAGTGGGTGGCAGTGATGTGACATCATGGTGAACAGTGTGGGCAGGTGGCCAGAGGGCTGACCATCTGTCCTCAAGCCTGTCAGAGCATCTTTCTATGGGTTTAGGCCCTTGAGGAACTCCTTTCCTGAGTAGATCTTGGGGAGATGAGTTGTTCTTTCTGGAAGTCACTCTTCCTCAGCCCACTTTTTCCTGCCTGCTGCTTAAAGGAAAGCCCATTTTTTTGTCCTTGAGGCAAAACCTCTGGAAATTTCCAGGCAGCTGTGGGGTTAGTGTAAGGAACACTGGCTTTGCATTTGGAAAGATCTGAGCTCTGGTCCCAGCTGTGCCATTGCTAGCTGTGTGACTTTGGGCAAGTTGCTTGACTGATCTGAGCCTCAGGTCTTCATCTCTAAAGGGAGATGATAGGGCTGCCTTGGTGGCTTAGCGGTTTAGTGCCTGCCTTCGGCCCAGGGAGTGATTCTGGAGTCCTGGGATCGAGTCCCACATTGGGCTCCCTGCATGGAGCCTGCTCCTCCCTCTGCCTGTCTCTCTCTCTCTCTCATGAATAAATAAATAAAATCTTTAAAAAAAATAAAATAAAGGGGGATGATAATGTCCTTCGAGAGAAGCTGCATGATGGAACGAGAGTATAGACATCAGCACCCACGTGGGTGCTTTCCTGACCCCAGACTCAACTAGTGCAGAGATGGGGAGGATGCTGGGGGTTTGCTGGGGACTAGCACGAATTAGTTTTATAGATGTTGATTGAATAGGTATATAATATTGTCTGAGATCAAATACCATGTGATATTGTCTAATAGAGACAATGATAGGTGCCCAATTTTTAAAAAGATGGGCAAGGAATTCAAAATTCTGGTAAGACTTTTCAGGGCACCTGGTTGGCTCCGTTCGTTAGGTGTCTGACTCTTGATTTGCCTCAGGTCATGATCTCTGGGTCACAAGATGGAGCCCCGTGTTGGGCTCTGCACTCAGCAGGGAGTCTGCTTGAGATTCTCTCTCCCTCCCTCTTTCTATCTCTCTCTCTCAAATAAATCTTTAAAAAAATTCTATTAACACTTAAAGTTGGGCAAAAGGTCATTATTGCCTTTTTATTAAAAGTATGTGTTCTGTGAGCAACTACTATGTGCTAGGTCCTTTGAGTCTCCAGTGGGAAATGTGACAGCCCAATTCCTTGTCACTCGGCTGGTAGCAGTCTTCCTGGTGGATATCCAGGCCAGAGCTCAAATTTCAGTAGCCAGAGAGGTACATCTGCCCCAGGAAACATTTCACAGAAGGCAGCAAAAGTGACAGAGTTACAATTGAGTCCCAGCTACCATAGCAGCAGCTCCCTGGCATTGTTTGGTGCATTCTCTTGATGTGGAGGTGTTCAGGGATGCTGGTGGGGGTTGGGCGTGAAATACACGGAGCTGTATTAGAACAGGCAGTTACAGGATACAGTTTGGAGGTGCCTCTGGACAGTGTTGGAATTCAGGACTGCTCCTCTGCCCCCTTGTGCAGGTTCAGGTTCATGGGCAGTCATGTCTTACTTGCTTGCCCCCAGGGAGGCTTTGGCCTTGCCAGCATTGCAGAAGTACTCGGAGAGCCAGCAGTGGCTGTGCAGAGCCTTCCCGTGAGCTCCTGGGAGGCTGGCCTTTGGGAATGCAGGTCCTTGTTAGTTTCAACACTGGACCAAAACTAGATAGAATCCTTTAGAGGTGGGGAAACTTTGTTTTGTAACTCTGGTGATATTGCCATCTGGTACTAATCAGTACCTGCCTTGAGCTAGATGGCGGTGCAGAGGCCGGCACACACAGCAGGCCTTGTGAGCCATAAGCCAGGAGAGGCAACCAGGCAGGTTCAGATGCATGCTTTGGAGGTGGATGGCCTGGGCTTGACTTCCTGCTTCAGGGGATAGGGGCACTTTGGGCAGGTTGCTGATATTTCTTTCCCTTCATTTCCCAATTTGTAAAGTGGGGTTAGAAATGGTACCTATATCCTAGTATTGTTGTGAGGAATGATCACGTGTAAAGCAGTGTAGGGCATCGGGACAGGTGCGGACTGAGAGCTGTCCCTCTGATGTGGGAGCTGGAGGTGGTCAGCACACACGCAACACATCATCTGTGCCTGCAGGGTGCATTTGGCAGCATCATTTGAATTACCCAGTTGATGGCAGAAACTGTTCTGGAGAAATGAGGTAACTAAATATAGTGCTATCACAGAAGCCTTTAGCTGCTTCTTTAAAAAAAAAAAAAAAAAAACCCAGTGGATAGAAGTTGCCAGTGTACAGTGTCAGCATATGTTAGATCAAGCGGCTTTAAGAAGTCCTGTTGCTAATTTAAGCTCTTAGGCTCCCTGTGAAAATCTTAGCTGCGATAATGTCAGTGGACAAGAACATCTCCTTTTGCCCAAGGAATGCTAAGGCAAATGGTTTATTTTCGAGTCAGGCTCCACTCATCTTGTGATGGTATCTCTAAAATTATTCTTCAGTTTATAGAAATCAGCAGTGCCATCACCCTCCTCCTCCGTGTTGGCTGTTCATGGAACGGAGGAACAGTTCCTCAGGATGAACCCACCCCAGTGGGCTCTGAGTCACTTGGGTGCCCCCTGCCAGCCACTCATCTCTCCAAGCTGCCAAGCAGGGTCCCTCTTTCCCACAGGAGGTATCTTATCACTGATGTGCCCCCCAGACCTATACACATCTACAGAAAGCCTTGTGGCCTGGAGGTAGAAAAGTCCTTGTGCTTAGTTTTACTCCTTTCCACCAAAAGGTACTCACTGGAGAGCGGATCATTCCAGAATCCTCTTCTGCATGCTGGCTGTGTGCCTGCATGGGAGGAACACGACCTGACCCTCCAAGAGGCTTTGGCTGTGACATTTGGAGGTAATCTCTCATGGGAGGAGACTGACACTAGCTGGATTATCGTGTGGGGTGCTGTAAGATTGTTGGAGCGCTCGGGTGCAGCAGGGCTCCCACTGGAGAATGGGCAGAAAGGTGCATTAGAAGACAAGCAGGACTGGTATCACTAGGCACTCATGTGTTTGCTAGATGAGTTGAGTGAGCAAGTCCTGGGATGAGAGATCACCCACAGGGACTAATATCAAATGGAGGCATTTGTAGGTATTTGGAGGGGACACTTTCTGTATTACCCAATACCTACAGTAAGCCATTTGGAAAAGAGGAGCAGGCTCTGATTCTCTCAGTGAAGGCTCCCAGAGGAAAGAGGACAATGGCCTCCATGGGGGGAGGAGGCAGTGGGGCCAAGCTGCAGTCTGCCTCTGAGTGTCAGGGCATTCAGAGGAGAGGGCCTGCTGGCTGGCATCACTGGAGAAGGCATGTGGCGTTGGCGTTGGTAGGGCTGGACTTTGAGATGGGCTGGCAGTCTGGATTGAAGCAAAGTCTAGAAGCCAGAATGAGCACGGCATTGCAGAAGGCTGAAGACCTGGAATTCTTTGGAGCCCAGGGTTGTTTTGGAGGCCAGAAGTCACGTGGGATTGGGTAGGTTGGAGCCAAGAGGAGATTGTTCCCCAAGTGGGTGTCTTCTCCAACATGTTGGAGCTTGGCCTGTCCTCCACAGGTTTTTCAGCATGGGGTAAGGTGGCTCAGTTACTTCTGGCAAGTCTCCTGGCTCAATCCAGGAGCCTGAGGGCCCTCCCATTGCATCCTCTGCTTCTAGGGCCTACTTCTGGGTCTTCTCTAGGCCCCAGAGCTGGTGTACAGAGAACCTAGGCTACAAGGTGTGGGGGTTTTCACATGTCATTAGTGCTTTCAGGGAAAGCCTGGCTGCCTCTGCCTTTTGGGGGGCTCTGGGCACGCAATGGCGGGTGTGTTGCCAGCAGGCCTGCTGCTGCCCGAGTCTTCAAGGGCTCCTTGGTGGCCAGGCTGGAAGGACAAACTGCTAATTTCAGGAACCAGGCCCTGAATCTGCCTCATCCCCAAGGCAGGGCTTCTGCACAGCTGTCAGCCACATGTGCGGTTAGAGCTCAGATCTCCCTGGAGAAGCCAGGCTGGGGCTGACCTGTACTGCACTCTTCGTGGGCACAAAAGGCCCTTGAGGGAGAAGAGTATTGGGGGGATGAAGAGAACATAAATATATTACTGAAAATGTTCTAAGGATGTTAGACCTAAAGAGTTGGCCTGTACCTCTGGGTATTTACCATCTCCTTCAGAGCAGGCTCTCCTGGCAGCTTTCTCTCCAACTGTGGAGAGAGTATCACACGAGAACATCTCCACATGCGGTGCTGTTTTGTCTGGAAGACCATCCACATGGAATGGTGTGCATTTTTCCTATCCCTCTAGAACAATTTTCTGGGGTCTTGAGATCCCAGAGCCAACATTTGCCATGTTGGGCAGTTACAGGGCAGCAGGGTGACTCTTGCAAGTGGAAGCTTGAGGTGCGTGGAAATAAATCACCTTGCTGCTCTGCAGCAGTGACCTGTTCCATTTTTTCTCTGGCCACCGTCCGTATACGCAGACCTGGACGGAGTTTCCCATGTGCTGGCCCGTCTGTGGGTGTATCAGCTTCATTGTGACCCCGCTGCTCTCCCACTGAGCTCCCAGCAGGCTGGTGGCATGCCTTGAGTTCCCTGAAGTTTCTAAAGGAACCCCTGATTCATTCTTTCAGGTGAACTATCTGCTGTGTCGTGACTGAGGATTAGGGCCCTGGCCTC